AATGCTGGGGATGTCGCAAATCAACAAACCCTCAAAAGAGTATAGGTAATTATCAAGGCCCCTGCAAAGTAAGCCCTGGTCCATAAGCATACCCTCGATGCTAAGGGCATGCAGCCTGCTGGTGTTTTGGAGATTTCTTAAAATAGCGGACCCTGATATAGTACCCTAAAATAGTAGGATCCTTAATATAAGGACCCCAAAATAAGGTACCCTCAAATAGTAGGATCCTTAATAGAAGGACCCGAAAATAAGCTACCCCGAATTTTCGGAGTCTTTCAATGTCTGACCCGGCCTGGCACCACTCCTTGAGCTCCTCGGCTGCATCCTCGAGTTGGGCTGCTGAGGGCTTGGACTTCGTGTGGGGTTCAGGTGACAAAGTTGTCTATATAGGGGGGTTTCCGAAAAGAAGGGCCCTAATATAGCACCTTTAACTAGTAGGATCTTTACTACAATAAGAAACCCAAAGTAAGGTGCCCCTTCTTTTTGGAAACTCCCATATAGGTTTTGGAGCTTCAGGCATTGGGCTTAGCCTCTGCCAAAACGACCGTCTGGGGAGTTGGGGAGGGTGCCTGCGTGGTCATTAACCATGGAGCGTTCTGCGACGAGTTGATCCCAAAGCCCGAATCTAAGCACTAAGCCCTCACTCTTGCGTTAAACATGCAGATAGCCCAAAGAAAACACGTGCGAGCCGCCTGAACCTATCCAAGCTGAACAGTGGATAAAAGAAGGCATCGTAACACTGCAAAAGGTAATGCTAAACCCTGAACCCTAAACCTCTTAGGAATATAGAGGCCGCATTACCTCGACGTGGGCTTTGCGGTATTGCTCTTCTACATGAACCTAAAGGCCCCATGAGGAATACTACCGAGAATCATTCAAAACCCCAAACCCCTAGACCCCGAACCCCTATATTCCACCCTAGTCCCTGACTTCCTAAACCCTGTAAACCGCCAGACCCAAGCCAGGATCCTAACACCCCTACAAAACCTTTGAGCACAAGCCTGAAAAACCTCATAACCCCTCGAATTCTGGGAACCCCCCCCCCTAAACCCTAAACCCTAAACCCTAAACCCGAAACCCGAAACCCTCAACACCCTGAACCCTCAACCCGAACAGCCCCAACAAACCCATGTCCACTGGCCTCGCCTCAGTGAAGCGGACCAGAGACCAGGTCGCCTTGGAACCTTTGTCTGCTCTGGGCTTAGGGTTTTCAGGCACTTCTAGGGGTTCGGGTTTAGGGTTCCGGTTCAGGATTTGTATAGGGGTGAGGGTTTAGGGCTCCGGGTTAGGAGTTGTAGGGGTTAGGGTTTGGGGCTCCGGTTTAGGATTTTTATAGGGGTTAGGGTTCAGCGTTCCGGCTTAGGATTTGTATAGGGGTTTGGGTTTGGGGGTTCCGGTTTAGGAGTTTTAGGAGTTTGGTTTTCGGGTTCCGGTTTAGGATTTCTAGGGCTTGGGGTTTAGGGTTTTGGTTGGGATATGGGAGTTTGTGCGGTCTTGAAGGGTGTTAGAAGGCTGGCTACCTGTGTTTTCGCCTGGGCCTTACACGGCTCCCGTGGACTACTCAACTACTCAATGCTTTTGCAGGACTTCATTTGGTATACTCGGCTATACAGACTTTGAGAGCATCAAGCGCATGAGGATTCTTGTGTTTATGGCCTGGGGCCTAGGCTTGCATGAGGGTCTGTAAACGTGGCTTTGTTGGTGCTTTCGAGGTTTTGGGACAGATCATGTACACCCTGCGTTACATGACTCAGCCTCGACTCTTCTACAAGTAGTTGTCTTGCCTGGGTTTAGGATGCTTTAGGGTTTAGTGGTTGCGGTGGCTTAGGCTGAGATGTTTGTGTTCGGAACTTTCCGAAACCTGAAAGCCCCCAAAACCTTGCAGGGTGGTTGAAGCCAAGGTTCAGGGCTTAGGCTTAGGCATTTAGGGTAGCCTACCCTAAAGCCTAAAACTCTACCATGGAGTCCCACCGGGTTGGGACTGGGGTAAGGGTTGAGGCTGCTGGTGTCTTTGAGTTTCGGGTTTGGGTTTTTTGGGTTTGGGGTTGGGCTTTTTGGGGTGTTGCGTCCAGGGTCTGGGGCGATGGGGTGTTGGGTGGTTGGGTGGCGGGGTTTTGAGCACAGGGTTTTGCATGTAGAGTTTAGGAGTTACCTCTGTAGCCCGAAAGCATGGGGCCGTTGAAAAGGGCTGCAGGTAAAAGCCGGAAGGCGCGGGCATCACGAACTACGAAGGAGGCTAGGGTTTGGGGACCTTCACCCTGAAGACACCAGACAAGACTCTGCCCTAAAAACCCTAAACCCTAGACTAGACTTTACAATGTAGGAGCCTTCATAGTTAGAATAGGGTTTTGGGGGTTCCTTATTATAATTAGAGTATTAATATACCACCCTAAACCCTAAACCCTAAACCCTAAACCCAAACCCCTAAACCCTAATACCCCCAAACCCTATTCTAATGATTATGGCCCCTATATTACCCGTTGGGCTTTGAAAGGCCCAGTCCAAGGTTCAGGGGGCGGGTTTGGCTCCTCGGGCCTTGCAGTCTTCTTTAGGGCTTGCGGGTTTAGGGTTTAGGGTTTGGGTTTTTTTTCGCCCCTTTCCCACCTGCCCAAGTTAGGTTTTTTTTTTAAGTGCGATGCGCCTAAGATGCAAGTTAGGGTTTAGGGTGTAGGATTTAGGGTTTAGGGTTTAGGGTTTAGGGCCTGCGGTTTCGCGTCCGGAGATTTCGGCGTAAACTCCTGGGCCTTTCCTGAGCCTTGTTAAAACCACGCTACAGACTTGCTTCAAAGCCTGCGCCCTGAAACCCTAAACCCAAAACCTTCCCAATTTGTCGAGATCAGGCACCCTTTTCACAGTTGCTCTTCTTGAGCAGCTTGGCAAGCTGCTCCGACAGCTTCTTCGCCTGCAGACGGTTTGGGGTTTAGGAAGTTTAGGGCTGCGGGTTTGGGGGTTTGGGGTTTAGGGAGGGCTTGGGGTTTAGGGCTTAGGGTTTGGGGTTCAAGATTTAGGGCTTAGGGCAGGTGCGACTCCTAAAGAGTTGAGGGTTTGGAAAGTCTCATCCCGCAAACATGCATCACTCAAGAACCTGGTGCGGGAGTCTGCAACAAAAACCCGACACTACACAGGACACTCCGTTCTACGAATACCCCTTGGGCACGAATACACCCAGGACTCAAATCCCCAAATCCCTCAATCAAAACCACCGCCCACACACACACACACAGACAGACCGAAAAAACTGCAACAACATTACTAAGACAACTATCGAAGCCAGATGCTGATACTCTACAGAAAGCATCGTCAGAAACCCCCTTTTTCAATCGCACACGAAAAGTGCAAGTTGTCACCTGGAAGTCGTTGATGGCTTCCTTTGCCTCCCTCAGCCACGGCTCCAGGGTGGCCTGATCCGTGACAACTTCAGAAAGGGGCTTGAACAGTTACCAGTACTATTACTTTGGGGCTCCTCATCATAATCATGGTATCATATACCCCCAAACCCTGTTTTAATAATTATTAGGTCCTTAGACTCCTTTGAGGAGTCTGTCGTTTACCGGCTCTTTATGCGGTTGTGCAGGGTCCTTGAAAGTTAGAGCATTAGCTTTTCAAGGTTGAGAGGAGTGATGGACGCTCGGAGCTAAACCCTGAACCCTAGACGCCTAAACCCCTAAACCCCTACACCGCTCAAGCGCCTGTTAATAGAGCCCTTATGGTCCTTAATAGTGGGTGTTTCAGGAAAAAAAGAGGGTGGTAAACCCTGCAGCCGAAGGCTTGAGGGTTCTTAACAAATAAAACTCAGGGGGATCGGCCCACGAAGCTTCGCCCTGCTATCTGCATCACATGCACTCCCTAAACTCGACCCCCCTAAACCCCTAACGCCCTAGGCCCCCCTTCAGCCTCCGAACCCCCAACGGCACAAACCTTAAACCCCAAACCCGTAAACCCCGTAAACCCCTAAACCCCGAACTCCTAAACCCCAAAACCCAAAAACTCCTAAACCCCAAACTCCTAGACCCTAAACCCCTAAATCCCAAACTCCCAAAACCCAAACTCCTAAACTCAAAACCCCTCTCCGTTGCCTCATCAGGCCGCTCGAATGCATCACACCTGGGTCAGGGTTTCAGGGCTTCTCGGGTTCAGGGTGTAGTGTCTATGGTTTCAGGGTTTAGGGCTTTAGGGCTCAGGGTTTCAGGGTTTAGGGTTTCACGCTTCAGGGCTTTAGGGATGTAGCGGCTGTGGGGTTCTTTGGGTTCAGAATTCAGGGTTTGGGGCTTTAGGGTTCAGGGCTTCAGGTTTTGGGGTTCAGAGCTTCAACCCATTTCGATCTCCCACCACAAAAGGCGACGCATGCTTGCTGGAGATATTGGTTTATTTAGGGTTTAGGGTTTAGGGAAACCCCCAAAGGGAGAAAAAAGTAATGGCCCAACACCTACAAACATGCTATTAAACATTACGCTACATACTCTTGGGGTCCTGGATAAGCCCTCAGTCATTTTGTGGTAATAAAGGTGCTGCAGTTGCGTTCAAAGGTTGAGGCTTCAGAGGCTTAGGCCAGGGAGGGTTGAAGGTTTGGAGGTTTAGGGTTTAAGGTTTAGGGTTTAAGGTTTAGGGTCTAGGGTTTAGGGTTTAGGGGAGTCTAGGGTTTATAGGGTTTCGGGTTGAGGGTTCGGAGGCTTAGGGTGTCGCCTTTCTCCTTGCACCCGAGGCACTTGTCGCATTCGGCTTTCTTGTCATCGAAGGCCTGACGTTGGACTAAGGGCAGCAGATCTCGGCTCTCAGATCAAACCCACCACCCTAACGCCTCATCCCTCCCGAAACTCGAAGCCCTCCTCCCACCCGAGGGTTTCCGAAAGGAACGCTGCGGGGCGGCCTCCGTTTTTCCACCCGGGTTTCGGGTTTGGGGTTTATAGGCCATGTCGAAGCGAATGCTGCGGGGTCCCCGTTTGTAGGGTGTAGGGTGTTGGGTTTAGGGTTTGGGGGTTTAGGGGTTTAGGCGTTTAGGGTTTATAGGGTTCGGGGTTTAGGGAATGCAGGCTGCTCGTGATGCATGCAATCCATGTTATCAGGCCTTGCACCACGCTCTGACCGCGTCGGCTGCAGCCTGCACTTGGACTGTTGAAGGTGTGGAGTTCACGATGGGTCCTAGGTGCAGGTGGATAGGCTTCAGGGTACAGGGCTTAGGGCTTGGGGTCTTAGGTGTAGGGGCTGCAAAGAGAGTTGTGGCTTTGCTTGGCAAATTACGGATGGTGATGAGAAAAGATCTGCCCTGTAGGGCCAGAAAAGTCTGGACTCCCCCAAAGCCCGTAGTCTTGAGTGAGCTAATATGGGGGCCTTAATCAGCAGAATAAGGTTTGGGGCCCCATTGTGCTATAATGATACTAAGGAACCCCCAAAATAGTATAGGTAATTATTTAGGACCCCTATAGTAGCTACAAAGGTCTCAACATGCTTCATGGCTCACCGCCGAAGCACCTGCATAAACCCAGCCGAGGCTTTTCGTTAGAAGATATCGACACGCTCCTGCCACACGTGTGCCTGCGGAATACGACAGGGAGGGGCTGGATACTTAAAGCACCGTCCCTGATCCCTCATGGGGTTCCTACAAAGTACCCCTTAGTGTTACAGGGTCCCAGATCAGGGATTTACCTTCTTAAATCCTTCCTTGGTTCTGGGTTTGTAGGGACTAATGAAGGAACAACAGATTAAGAAACCCTGGCCCTAGTAACCCCAGTATGTTCGTAAGAACCCTAAAGAAAAGAGCCAGGGTTTCTTAATCAGGTTCCTAAACCCTAAACCCCTAAACCCTAAACCCTAAACCCTACAAGGCACGGTCGGGAGGAAGGCTCCTGCGCTTCCTGGCGGCGACCCTGTGTCTGAACTGTGAGCCAAACACCCAGCCCTGGCTCGAAAATGGATTTAGGGTTTAGGGTTTAGGGGTTTTTGGTTTAGGGGTTTAGGGTTTAGGGTTTAGGAGTTTTTAGTTTAGGGGTTTAGGGTTTAGGGTTTATGGGGTTTTTGGTTTAGGGGTTTAGGGCTTAGGGGTTTAGGGTTTAGGGTTTAGGCGTTTAGGGTTTAGGGTTTAGGGTTGTTTAGGGGGATTTAGGGTTTCGGGTTTAGGGTTTAGGGTTTAGGGCCAAGGCAACAACAGCGAACTCCCAAGCGGTCTTAGGAATGAGACAAGGGCTTTTGAGGTATACTATAGCATGGTAGGATAGGTTCTACATACTCTAGGTCTACAAACCTACAAACCCTAAACCCTGAGCCCTATGAGAGTTCAATAAACCTAAACACCTGGCCTCGCTGGAGGAGAGGAGAGACCAGGTCTGCGTGGAACCTTTGTCTGCATCCTATGGTTTAGGGTTTAGGGTTTAGGGGGTTGTTTTGGTTGTTTATCAGGTATTGAAATTTGCTTAAAGCAACTTTGGAAGAATGGCTTTATATGGGGTTCGTCAGGGACTTTAGAAGGCTTGGAACCCTTGTTTCGTCAGGGCTTCACGGGGCGTGTGTCTCACCAAATACACGATCTTTACAAGCCCGCAAAACCAAAACGCTAATCATCCACAAACCCATAAACCCTGATCCCCTACAAGCTAAACCCCTAACCCCTAAACCCTAAACCCCTACATCCCTCAAGCCTTACCGTGCAATTTTGGGGGGCCTTAATCAACAGAGCCGGTCGCCCTCAAGGGGTTCCTTTTCAAAGCGGGGGTCCATATAGCTTACTATAATCAAGGGTTGACTATACCAGACAAGTTGAGTATAGGGGCTCAACCATGGACCCTGGCCCCTAAACCCCAAAAGCCTGGCTTAAAACCTATGTAACTCCCAAAGTTTCTCTTTGATGAACACCCCCAACGATTTGATCCAGATCGGTGGTCTGTTCATATTCGAGAACAGGCGCCTTTCTCGGGCGTGCTCTTCTTGACCATTTTGGCAAGCTTATCCGACAGCTTCTTCGCCTGCCCAAATCACAAGTATAGCGTCTCGAGAATCAGACACCGACTGCGCATATATATGTGCTAAATACACCGACACTCTTTGAAGGGTTGATGGTTGAGGGTGCTTTCTCCCTGAATCATGCATCTTTCACGAACCTATTGCTACCATGACGACTTCTCTTCCAAAATTGAATCGCCTTGTCTTATCACAAGGAAGGCCGGGGATCCCAACATACCCTAAATACTCAGTTCAGGAATCTTCAGCCCATATATCCGTAAAGCTCTTGAAAACACCCATTATCCGTTTGGATAGCACAGAGCAGACTCAAAGACCTTTCGCAACTTCGCAATCCCTGAAAGCCCTTCAACAAACCGCCTGTCGGATATACGGTTCAAACGCGTCGAGCTGCTCGTTCGAAGGCGCTTCAGGCTTCTTGGCTTTTTGTTGCCAGAACCCGAAACTCAACATTTCCAGCGCTTAAGGTTCAAGGTTGAGGGTGTCCACAGCATTGAGGCTTGAGGCTCTTGTCGGGTTGGTTCAGGGTTTATAAGGTTTAGGGTGTAGCGGTTCGTTTGCATAGGGGGTTGAAGCTAGAGATTTAAGTAGGGTCTACGGCTCAGGGTCTATCCGGGTTTGGGATTCTTCCGGGTTTGGAGCTTTGCTTGGACCTTTGAGTTGAGGATTGGGTCGTATGCAACGAAAGAAGTCTCGAGGCTACTGGGTATACGATGTCTCTCATATAATAATAAGGAACCACGAAAATAGTATAGGTAATGTAATTATTATTAAGGCCCCTATAATATTAGATACGGCGTGAATTCAATCCTCGCTCCGGCTTTTTCTGTGACCCCGAAGCTTTTGCTCCTCTGGTGGATGTCAAAAGGTTGATGACTGGTACGAATATAGAAACCAGCAAGGACCCTCATAACTGAAGCCCCCAAAACAGTACCTATGCCACACAGACACCTTAGATTTGACCCTAAACCCCACTGCTATCGGCCCTGGCACAGACACTCCAAAATCAATGGGTTTCAGTGTCCTACTGCCGGTTAAGGGTCTAGGGTCTACTGTTTAAGTGGGGCGTGCTGCATGGGGCCTTTATATGGGGCTCAGGATGTAGATTTTGGAGTGATTGCATTGCACCGTGCAGGCCTCGTCCAGTTGTTGATTCCTCCTTAGCCGACGGGTTACGACAAAAACAAGGGTCTTGGAAAAAAACATAGCATCATTCTTCACGAACCCGAAATCCACAAACACGCTCAACCCCTTAGGCCCCGAACGATTTCACAGGGTTTTGGGTCCAGGATAGGTCTCTCTCCGATTTTAGGGTCGCCGTTTCGGAGCGAATCACCACCCAAACCCACAGAATCAGATGCCAGGTAGCTGTCGCTTTTGCTTTCTTGCCTCTGCCTGCTATGGACGTCAAACTTCTGGGAGCTAAAGGATTCAGGGCCCTAAGCCCTAAACCCAAAACCCAAAAAACCTTGTCCCGACACCCTAAACCCCTAAACCCCCAGACCCTAAACCCCTAGACCCTAAACCCTAAAGCCCCTGAACCCTAAACCCTTAAGCCCTAAACCCCAAACCCCCAAACCCCTAAACCCTAAACCCCCTAAACCCTAAACCCCGAAACCCTAAACCCCGAAACGCCCAAACCCCTAAACCCCCAAACCCCCTAAACCCCAAACACCTGACCCTAATCCCCTGAACCCCTAAACCCCTAGACCCTAAACCCCTAAACCCGTAGACCCTATCGCTAAGCTCTTCCGGCTCGGGGCTGAGGGTTTCAGGGTTCCCTATCCCAGAGCCTCTAAGAGACCATCCTACACCCTAAGGGTATAAGGTTGAGGATCTGGGGGGTTGGGGTTTAGGGTTTGGAGGTTATGGTTTGGGGGTTGGGTTAAGCCCTAAACCCTAAACCCTAAACGGGATTAGGGTTTGGGGTCTGGGGTTTGGGCTACACTTTCGGGCTGTGGCGCTCAGGGTTCCTGAGCGACGGCGCAGGGCTTCAAGCCGGAAAGTAAACAGGAGTTTGGCTTAGGGTTTAGGGTTTAGGGTTTAGGGTTTAGGGAAGGGCTCCTTGAGGATATACACCCTTTCAATAAGATCCCTTTTTAAGAGAGCCATAAGTACGGTTCGGAAGGGTCCCCTTTAAGGGGTCTTCCTAATACTACTTCGGCTCTTGGTCCAAGAGCTGGCGGTGCTCGGAGCTTCTGCCGATTCTTGGTCTAGGGCTTGGGGCTTCAGGTTTAGGGTGTGGGGTTTTGGGTGGGTAATATGGGGGCCTTAATAAATACTTAGCTATATTATTTTTGGGGGTTCCTTACCGTAATTATAGAATGAAATACACCCCAAAACCCTATTTTAGATGCCCTAAACCCTAAACCCTATTAAGGCCCCTCTCCTCCAACTCTTAGCCTGTTGCCGTGTGCGGCAGGTTCCACCTCCTGTGGCCACTAGATAACGACGAAAGCAAAGCTCAGCTTAGGGTTTAGGGTTTAGGGTTTAGGCCCCTTTATTCGTTTGTGATGGCATAGAGTGGGATGCTGCAATCGAGCTCACCATCTAACATGCGGGTTTTTAAGGATAACAAGGGGCATCCTTGAAGAAAGGGGGGTTTTGGACTCTTACCATCTCTTACATCTCAGAACCTCAGGTGTAAGGCTGAGAATCTCCGGCCCTCAACGCACAAAAGCCCTAACCCTCAGCGAACGAACCCTCCAACCGAACACCCAAAAATCCGCGAAGAAGTAATCGCTGCCCAAAACCCGGAAGCTTTAGGACCAGACAGCACCCGAGGTAGGCTAGGGTTTTGGGTTTAGGGTAACCGAAAGTCCTAGAAAGCCTGAAGCCTTACCTCAAAAAAAGATGCAACCTCGGCAGCAGATCGCTTCAAGCTCTTCTCCTTCTCCCTCAGATGGGAATTTCAGACAAGTAGGGTCCCTTTCGGGTTTAATTTTGGTGTAGACTTAGGTGACAATAAGGATTAAAGACCCGTTCGGGTGCATGCTGTCTGGCTCAAGTTTAGGTGGCAGAATTTTGAGTTGCGTGCACGACTTCGAGCGGCATGCAATCTCGGACCATAATACTAGTGCAGGCCGCCCCAAGTTATTTACACAACTACGAATCGGACGGGTGTGTGCGTGATCGAGATGCACAGCTGCTGCCATCTGGCTCATACGGACAGGTACAAGCAGATCGCCGTGTGCATAGTCTCAACCAAACCCTAAACCCCTAAAACCCTAAACCCTAAACCCCTACACCCCTAAACCCCTCAGCCCTAAACCCTAAACCCCTAAACCCTAAACCCCAATGCACGGAAGCCCACATCCAAAACTCTGAACCCCCATCAGCCCTACACTCCGATCTAACCGCGTGAGCTAAACAAGAGCAATGTAAGCTACTGCAGGAATTTGTTTTTAAGCCATATCAAGAGCTCAGGAAGACACTCGTAAACTTCAAAGAACTGCTCCAAGAGCCGATTCAGGATAATAAAAGCCCCGCAAACCTTTCTGCAAACCCTTCAGTGTAAAAGGCTTCGAAACCCCCAAGCCACCTTAAACCCTAAACCCTCAACCCCAAACTCTAAACCCTAAACCCTCAACCCGCAACCCTAAACCCTCAACCCTCAACCCTAAACCCTCAACCCTAAACCCCTCAACCCTAAACCAAACAAACAAATGGAACTATCTCAGAATCCTCCAGAGTCGAGGCGCTCGATCATCTCCGTGGCCTGGACACACCAGGAACAAACAAACTACTCTAGGCTAGCATGATTACATACCACATAGATAGATAGATAGATAGATAGATAGATAGATAGATCGATCGATCGATAGATAGAGAGATAGATAGAAAGATCGATAGGTCGATAGATAGATAGATCGCTAGATAGATGGGTAGATAGATAGATGGATATGTAGATAGATAAACCGACAGATAGGTAGATAAGTAGGCACAGCTACATACATTTATGTACACATACATGTATGCACACATGCATACATGCAAGTATGCCTGCGCATGTACACGATCATATGCATGAGCATCTAGACATGCAGGTACACATACGCATAAATATGTGTATGCATATGGGCATCTCTATCTACATGTGCATATACCCTATGCATGTACATAGGTATACACATATGTATGTACGTGTGCATGCGTATGTTTATGTCTATGTCTGCGCATGACATGTACATGTAGTACATGCATATGCATATGTCTATGCATACACGTATATTATGTGTGCCTCTGTATGTGTATGCGTATGGTCATATGTACACTGGTATGTAGATGTATATGCGTTTGCAATTTTAGTAGAATTTTGTGTCGATACATGACTGCTTGCATACATACGCATGTGCTCACGTATTTGCGAAACCACATATCTATCTACCTGCCTGCCTGCCTGCCCACCTACCGACCTCCTTACCTACCGACCGACCGACCTACCCAGCTAACTACTGGCTACTTATACTATCTACCTACCTACCTACCTACCTCCCTGCCTGCTTGCCTGCCTGCCTGCCTGCCTACCTACCATACCATTCCGTTCCACTCCATTCCAGTAAATGAATATCATGTTTCAGGTAAGTCGTTGAGTGAGTATGCATATAAGTATTTCTGAGTCTGTCTGCATCTGAAACTACCGACAGCGGCCACATTGAGAGCATCGACCGATGCAATGCCATCCCTTCCCCTAGGCTGAAACGAAACCTCGTATGAACTTGACTGTCGCAGAGGCAGTGGTATGATGCGGCAGCATGTTACAACACGGTGTACCACCTTCGCACGCCTCCGAGCTCAAGCACACTCTGGGAGCTCGTGGCCACGGCCACCGCCAAAAACAGGTTAGGGTTTAAGGCCAGGCGTTTAGGGCCTAGGGTTTGGGGTTTAGGACCCGCTGGCCAGAACAAGCAACAACCTCACTGTTGCCCTGTGAATTGAACGAAAGTCAGATGCCTGCTGCAACAAACTCTGACCGGCAATAAATCACAGGAAACTACAGGTGGGGAGTTTAGGGTATATAGGGCTTCTATAAAGCTTCCAAAAGGCATATAGACCTTGTAGAAGGCTCCTATAACGCTAACTACCCACCCGAAAATGTCCAAGAATAAACTCTGACCGGCTGTGTACCTGGATTCCTTCCTAAGCGACGTGAGAAACTACAGAATTGGGAGATTGCCTAAAGAGCCATGTCCACCCAAACCTACGCCCGCAAACCCTACGAACGGACACCCGAACCCTAAGCCCTAAACCCTAAACCCTAAACCCTCCTAGATCCTGACCCCGAAACCCTAAACCCTAAACCCTCCTAGATCCTGACCCCTAAACCCTAGTATCCTCCGGGGCGCCTCCTTGATGAGCCTGCTTTCCGTCTTTCGCAGATCCTGCCATTTTCCAGGTGCCTCCGAACATTCTGACTTAGGATGTGGGCGATGGGAGCGATCGGCTTGAAGGATAGGGGTTTTGTTTTAAGGTTTAGGGTTTAGGCTTAAGGATAGGGCTCTTTTAAAGTGTTAGGGTTGGGTTCAGAGTTAAGGATAGGGCTTAGAGCTTAGGGTATCGAAGGCACGCGATCAATGTAGTGTCATGGCCAGTTGCTTTTTTCCGTCACAGTGTCTACCGGACATCTTCGCTGTAAGCAGTAGGATTGAGAGCTTCGTTAACATGAAGGGTGTCAGGCCTGCAAGCGTGTGGGTTTCTGCTTTAGGCTCTGAGGGCTTGATGTGTAGTCTGGTGGCGCTCCCCTGAGATCACAGCGCCTTTGCCGAAAGGCGACGGAATGCAAGCTATAGGAACAGCTAGAAAAACTAGGGTGTAGATGAAATGAAGAACCAGCGCAGAACGTCAGACGAGCATGAAACCATATAACTAGAGTCCAGAGAGCTTCTGGCCATCGTGAAAACCCCAAAGCTGCAAACCACAAGCCCATGCTTCCAGGGGGCCTTGATTGGCGGCCTTGATAATTAAAATAGGGTCTTGGTGCCCATTATTCGATAGTTATAATAAGTTTAAGGAACCCCCAAAATAGTGTTGGTAATTATTCAGGCCCCTGCATTACTGTAACTGAATCAGAATCGGAGCCCCGGAAAAAAGATCCCGAAAGCACTGCAGGCGAGGCACTCCCTACGGCTTCAGAACATGAGATAATGGCCTTCATGATTACGATAGGATTCCTGAAAGGGGATCCTGAAAGGGATCTAGGAGGATTAACAGCCTCCTGGGATATGTCGAAGTATAGTTAGAAATACGGGAACCTTAAGGATGCGTTGTAGTAGTAATTGATCTATGTTGAACCTCCAAAAGACGAAGAACCTGCAAGTAGAGCATGTCACCCTCCCACGGAAGCCTCCTAAACCCTAAACTTTAAACTCTGGGTCTAACAGCAACCTTCCACTTCGCCCTGAACACGGAAGGGACCTTGGCGCGGAAAATCGCATCGATCTTCGCCTTGCGGGTGGGAGGGATGGTTCTCTAGGGTTTAGGGTTTGGGGTTAGAGTAGGATTTGCGTCGGCACCTGGATGGCCGACAGGGGCTTTATAGGGGTGTTGTGGCATGTTCTTCCATCTGGTGACAGCTTCATTAGGGGTGGTGGTGTAGGATGCTAGCATGCTGTGTAGGGCTGGGTGTGCGCGTGTGTGCAAGGTTCTTTTTCTGTGGCTTATGCTTATCTGATGGGAAGTTATGAGGCTTTTTGCTCTAAGAATCGCTTCACCGTGGCGCTTGCGGCGCATGGGGCTTTATAAAGGGGATTTGCAGTCCCTCGGACTTTGTACAGGTTTATGACGGTTTAAGGGCCTTGAGGGGCTGCAGGGCTTGAGGGTGCTTTAGGATGCAGGGGTTTTAGGATGTGGGCTTTCGAGCTGAAGGGCTTTTTGTTTGGGTTTGGTAGAAGGGATTTAGGGTTCAGGGCTTCCGGCTAGGAGGGTGTGCGATGTTGTAACGCCTTGAACGGGTTTTGGAACTGAGCTTTCTGCTTGGGGCTTCTTCAGCGCCCGTGTCGGTGATAGGTCAGCTTTAAACACTTGAAAGGGGGTCATATTCTATTGGGAATTTGAAACGATGGCATCAGGTTCCTACACGCTTGTGCTCGTCCCGGAAGGCTGATGGCCGCAGCTGAGAGGGCAGAGGGACAAGTTGCATCTCTAGTGACATCCCAAACCTTTCGGGCCTAAGCACACTAAAGCCTTGACCCCCTCTAATCCTCGACCCTAGACCATTCAACCCTGAACCCGGAACCCAAGCGACCATTCGTACTTAAGGTCTAGGTTTTAGGGCTTATGGATTGGGGCTCAGGATTTAGGGATTCCAAGCAATGCAGGTACAGCGCACCTGCTCGGCATCAAGGATCCTCTTCGCCTCACCTCATAAGGGATGTCAAGAGAAGTTCCCTGAGGCCGTCCCGAGACTTCACAGAAAAAAAGGGGCCTTAATTATTAGAGTAAGAAGTCGTTTAGGGTTTAGGGCGCCTGGTCCTTCGAATGTGTGCTAGGCCGTCGTAAAGCATAGTTGTATTGGGGCTGGCAGCGGATGTTCTTATCGCTAAGTATTGTAGGCGCCTTAATAAGTAGTACCAATGGATCCCCGTTGCCTCTGCTTCACAGCTATTCAAGGGTGCATGGGAGCGGTTCCTGGTAAACCCGACACGCCCTCGATCCTAAATTATCCTAATATAGGGGCCAATATAATTAGAATATAAGGTCGTTATACTATAAGTATAACAAGGAACCCCCGAAATAGTATTGGTAAATATTTTTTAAAATGCAGTAGCCCCCTTTCTCTCGCAAGATGTCGAAGGCTCGCTCATGGAGCGTGCCCTGTAAAGAAAACACTACAGGCTAGTCCACAACCTCAGCTTCAGGCGATGCTCCAGGTGATGCTTCAGATGCTGCCCCCCGAGAACTCTGTACTAAATATTTTAAGCCCCTACATTATTCAGACTTGAATGCAAGCCCTCAGCGTGATGCGAAAAGCAATGGCTCGGAGCCTCTGCAACCGCTTTCTGCTAGGAGCCTAAAAGAAACCCACACCCTGAACGCACTCGAACCCTCCACCCCGAGTTCAAGCCGTGTACTTCTGTTTCTGAAACAGGTCAACCTCAGAAATCCGAACAAACCGTAACCCTGAAACCACAAAATGCAACCTAAACCCGAAACAGGGCCCAACCTCATGTCGCGGGTCTACCAGCGAAGCCGAAACCTTAACCCCGATCACGAAATCCCAAACCCGGAATCCCTGAACGAAACCACAAAACCTTGACCCCTAAACCCCAGCAACTCAGCAAGAACCCCCGCCCCCAAAACGCGAAACTTTGCCCTTTGAAGCCTACGGTGGTCTCTTTCAACTCCGACAGGAAGTCCAGCGTAGGCCTTGGCCCACCCTCAACCCTTAAACCCTGAACCCTAAACCCCAAACCGGGCCCAAACCCTTAAATCACCTTTAGTTTAGGGTTTAGGGTTTAGGGATTCAACCCTAAGCCCTAAAGCACAACTGCACCAAACCCTAAACCCCAAACTGGTCGTCGACGAGGGTGTGCTTAGCCTATCCTAGATCCTGGGGAACTAAAGGTCAACCTTTGGGGCGTATGTTGGGGTTATATACTGATTGTACTACCCCACAAAGGTTCAAGGATGCTAAAGGTTACCGACTCTACTACCAAGAAAGCTCTCTATATACATGATTTTGAGGTCCCTCCGTAGGTCAAATGGCCATCACTCACCCTCAGGTACCCTACATGCCCTATTCTCCGGGTATCCTACATACCCTCAATACCCTAAACACCCTAGATGCTCTAGATACCGTGTTTCTTCCCTGTATATAAGACCCTGCACCGTGTTGCGCTCTATAGTATAAAGCAAGTCGTTTTGTCTTGTGGGGGGGGGGGGGACTCTACAGTATTCTTATCACAGCAGGGAAGCCTCCGCTAGTTAATAGATTTGCGCTAATCGTTTAGGGGGGTTTAGGGCTTAGGGTTTAGGGACCCTAAACCCCCTAAACCTTGCTAAACCCTAGACCCCCTAAACCTGTTACTGCTTAGGGTTGATGAGACTCAGAGGTTCCGCGGTTGTGGGCGGTTTTTGGATGGCATAGGGTTACGTGTAGGTTCCAAGTGCAAGGATTTCATCTTCCCATGTGAGGCAGCTTCAGGAAAGAGCTTTAAGCTAAGGTTTAGAGGATCAGCTTTAGACACAATTAGAGCCCCATATACAGTAAACCCTAATCGCAATACGTACCCTTAGATTGAAGGCTCGGCCTTACTGCACTGCAACAACCTCATTCTTTTGCCACCCCGTTGCTACCAGGAGTACATTCGAAGATGCAATCTCCAAGCGACGGCTACTATCTCAGCCGCTCTTGAGACTCTCAGCACTAGTGGGCGTATATATAATATAAACCCTCAACCCTAAACCTTTAGTCTCGGATACTGTCCGAAGCTGATTGAGAAAGATCTTGGTCCTACTAGGCTTCTTCGGGCTGCTGCAGGAAACGATGGAAACTCGAAGTCAGTTTAGGGTTTAGGGTTTGGGGTTTGTCTATACCAACAAAAATTCAGTTGGGGGAAAAGTTCGGTGTACTTACAGCAAGCATTGATCATTCTTGCACCAGTTTCCAACTTTCCGGGGTCTTCCATTCCTAATCCCTGAACCCTGCCTGAACCCTAACCCTCCACCCCTAAACCTCAAAACCCAAAGCCCTACGCCCTAAACCCCTAAACTTTGGCCCTAAACCCTTGGACCCTCAACCCCCACATGATACCTGCATGCTAACCGTTCCAGAGAACCAGGGTCCTTCGGCTCGAATCGCGTCAAACCCTTAAGTATCTCCACTACAGAAATGTCTTGGGCTAAAGTTTAGGGTTTAGGGTTTAGGAGTTTAGGGTTTAGGAGTTCAGGGTTTAGGATTTTAGGGTTTAGGGTTTAGGAGTTTAGGGTTTAGGGTTCAGGAGTTTAGGGTTTAGGGTGTAGAGCGGCTTCAGGTCTACGGCCACTCTGCCGACCTCCGCAAACAGCAGACTACGGTAAGCTCAGGCAGGCTCTGAAGTTTGACAACCAGGCCTAAACCCACAAAAGACCCACTTTAACAACCCTAAACATTAAACACAAGAAGCTGAAAGCAGTACACCCACAAGAATAACGAGAAAGAGCCTTAACCCCCCCATGTAAAGGTCTGGATCAAACTCTGCAAGTAAGCTCTCAAACCCAAAACCCGAAACCTTTAAACCCTCACACCCTAAACCCGAAACCCTAAACCCTAAAACCCAACCCTAAACCCTAAAACCCGAACCCTAAAACCCTAAACCCTAAAACCCTAAAGCCCTAAACCGTAAAACCCTAAAACCCTAAACCCTAAGACCCTAAAACCCTAACCCACAAACCCCAAACCCTAAAGCCTAAACCCTAAAACCCAAACCCTAAAGTCGGCTTCTGGGCGTCGCACTTGACTTGAACGTCCCTGGCATTTTGGGCTTCGGCAAGGAAGCGGAAGTTGAGGCTGGTGTTTGTGGGATTCGGGCTTAGGGCTTAGGGTTTAGGGTTTCAGGGTTTGGGTTTCAGGGTTTTGGGTTTCAGG